TCCTTGGGCAAGATGATACGTAGGCAGTCTTTACGATACAGCTGGTTTTGGATTAATTGATTTTGATGGGGGTGAGATTGTTTGGACTCTCGTTCGGGTTCTCGACTTGTTGTGGATTGAGTTCGTACTGGTCACAACAAGTGGGACTTTTGGTTGCTTTGGTGTCGGCTCAGTTTTTTGGAAGAAACTTCACCGAGGTGGAGAATTGTGAGTGCGGATTCATAGGCGGCCCACCCAAATAATGCGGCCCATCCAATCTCCTATATATATCAATGTGATTTAGGTTTTTTTGTGTGGCAGAGAGGGCACGGAACATTTTGTGCGGCTGATTTTTGAGCACAGGGACAAAAGAGCGGCGGCTTGAGATTTTGAGCAGCTCTTTTAAGGGTTTATTTTGTAAGAGGGATTTGAGAGTTTGTTTGAGAGGGTTTAAATTGTGAGATTGTAAATCCTAGTTGTATCTCTCCCTCTATTAGTAGATCTCCCCCCTCCTTGCCCCGTGGACGTAGGCAATTTGCCGAACCACGTAAAATTTGTGTTCTTGCCGTGATTTATAATAGCTTGTAGGTTCCCTCGACGCGCAGCCCTAGAGCTGACGAGAGGAAGAACTAATATCCTACTTTGATAGGATATAGGCTTCAGATCTCCTTTTAAAAGTGGGAGTTTGAGAAAAAAATTTCTTGGACAAAAATACCTTTGACACTTTTAGTTATTAAGTTGTTATTTTATCATCATTAATATGTTTAATTAGAATAAGTAATATGAATGTTGTGCTATTTACAGGAGATCGAATTATGAAATGAAAAATCCTAATCTTATCCATGACCAACCTATGTATTCATTGTTTATTTGAAAGTATAGTCCTTAATTAAAATCCCTATCATCTAACAAGTTTCTCTCCTATCACATGGACTTACCTTACAAATGGCCAGTCATGTAAGCAAACATTTTTATTTATATATTAGAAATTAATCCAAATTTAATTAAATAATCTAAAATTAATTTGTTGAGAGATTTATTTTTACCGTAGTGGGTATTTACATTATTTCATATTTTGAAGTCCAACATCAAAGAGATTTATAGCGAAAAGTGTAAATAAAGATTTCAAAATTGAGAGGGGTTATTACAACACCCCCAAAACTAAGGGCGTTTCTTCGATAAAATAGTTAAGGGGTCTGAGCACCCTAAATGGTTCATATATCCTTTTACCCCTGAGAATTTTATTAAATGAGATGAGTACTTAAGTCATTTCACATTTTAAAGTAACAATGTCAGGTGGCTTTGCCGAGAAAAAAGTAAAGCTCATGAAGGATTATGGTAATATATTTTATGGTAAATAGAAACTATTTCACAAACGAGCTATAATAAAGAAATAAATCCAAAAGAAATGGTTATGATATTTGATCACGTGCAAAGTCCCACATCTGAGAAAATATACAGGAGTAAGTATACAGGGGACAAGAAAGGAGTTGCTTTCATAGTTTGGAAATACTGATATATCATTTTTCCCAAAAAAGTGGGGGCTAATATGTAAAAGCTTAAAGATTAAGGCAAGTCATGTGTAAAAAAACACCTTTCCGTTAAGATGTTCCTTTTAAGTGGTGACCATTTGGTCGTTTTGATCCAGAAACAACATTTGGTGCTGTAACAATACGTGCAATAACAACACACAATAGTATCATTTTCACGTACCTAACCTTTGGGTACGTTTGTGTAAGAGAAATGAAGTGAAGACTACAATAAATTGTGATGAATTTTTCTTGTTGGATTAGAGTTTTTTAATTAAGGAACTTTAAGCCATATGATAAAAGTTTTCGTGACATTGATTATTGAGATCATATCCTACTATTTAACTTTTTGTTTAAGTAGAAACTTGAAAATTTTTGATAAGATGTGATTTTATGATAAGTAATTGTATGTCCAAAACATGACTTCATTGTCAAATTTATTTTCATGTATTGGAATGATTCAAGAAACATTCACCTTAATGATTAATGTATCAATTTCCTACTAATAGAAGGTTCTCAATTAGACGAGCTGATTGCGCATAATTTGAGTTCTCCCCTTTTAAATGAATGGTTAAGAATGTTGGTTGGACAAATATAGAATATCATATAGTTGAGTGTCCTTGGAGGCTTGCACAACAAATATGAGTAGCTGAGAATGGTCCCCTCCTTCCTTTTGAAAAAAAAAAACTCGAGAAAAGTCTCACTAAATTCCTTGCTCAAAGCACAAAGCACGAAGCACAAGTATACACTTGAAATAACTTTGCAAAGCTTTAGGAGGAAGCAGGAGAAGGGCAATTAAATAATGCTTGGGAGTTAGCATTTGAGTAAAACCAATGATGGCACTTGTATGAGTCTCCAACTAAAAACTTTGATGTGGCATGAATGAGTCGTGATTCCAATTCAAAATTATTGGTTGTTAGTTGTTACTACAAAATTTGGATAAAATGATGTGGCACAACCACCCTAGTAATTGCTTGCTTATATCTAAATGGTAGGCTTTGTATAAAAGTTTATTATACCTTTAAATGCAAAATAAATGATAAATAAAATTATCATTGGTGTGGGTAGTACGGTGTGTCTGTATCATGATTTCCACGTATAAAGTTTCGAGAAGCGCATGTGATACTAAAGTAATGTATCAAAAATAAAATTGGTATCTGCAACTTATACTTATTGTCGCATAATTTTCACATGACGTGTCAACTAAAGAGAAAAGATAACTCATACTTTTTAAAGTTTGGAGAAGCGCATGTGATAACAAAGTAGTTTATCAAAAATAAAAGATGCATCTACAACTTTTATTTATGGTCACATAATTTCACATGACATGTCAACCAAATAGAAAGATAGCTCATATCTTTTAAAATTTTCAGAAACGCATGTGATAATAAAGGAGTTTATCAAAAATAAGAGGTGTATCCGCAGGTTACACCTATGTGATTGAAACAATGAAGTTACTTATAGAATTGATCTACTAAAGAAGAATTTGACATGATTGATAAGCTAAATACTAACTAAAATTGATTATATCTAGTGAATGGGTCCGTGTGAAAGACCAAGATTTGGATGACCGTGACTAAAGACGGTTTATGTTGCTGCCAGCAACACCACCATCATTTTCTTTGCATTTAAGATGTCTGGCAGTTACATTATTATTTTATATTGATTGCACCACAGGCGGTTGCTAAATTATATCTTTACCTGTTAAAGTTGTATAAGATAATTAGCACGGGTGTTTAAATTGCGATTCCATGTTTAAACAATAGAAGAATCCTGTCAGCTAATACATGGTTATAAGAGTTTTACAAGTCTTGATTTGTTGACTAATTGAGATTAAGATCTCTAAGAAGATTGAATTGGAATCTTCTTCTGTCTTTTAGCTTGTTGCATTATTTCACCCTAATCAGCTAAATTTTGTTAGGTGCAATACAATTACTTCCATTTGTATGTTAACAAATCGAGGAGGAGGAAGAAGCCAACCCAAATTTGAATTTGTTGAACTATTTTTGTTCTCAATCATGTAATTTAAAATAGTCAATAACTTTTTAGTAAATATATTCATCACAGCGTTACATATATACAATGACATTTACACATCTCATATGAGACCACATGGATTGAGAGAAGAAGAAGAAAGATAGCTCCTAACCTACCCAAAATTTGAGCATTTTGTCATTGCCACTGACTCATGTTTATTTGCAAGTGGATGCCGTGAAGGAGAAGAAATTTTAATAAAGTTTTTGTTGTTAGTTTTTAAAAATAACTTACAGAAAGGTGAGAACAAGGGTATGCGATCCCTTACCCCATGCTTTTGCTTTATTATTAAAGTACACATCATGTTTCCTATTGCCTCGTGTTTGTGGATCCATTTATTTTTGGCAAAGCTACTGAAGGTGAGCCCATTAATCAGTGATTAGTGATGGAGACTTTTGAACGTCAACAACACGGATCAGGGTGTTAAATCTTATCCTGAGTACATAATTAATCAAGAGCTTATGTTCCCTAAGTTAGAAACAACATTGGGAAGATAGCACAAGCAGTGCTGGCCATTTAGATGATCAAGGTTAAAGAGGATTCAAACTCATTAATTAATCACTTGATCCATAAAAAGAATAGTACAGGTTAATGGTAATGACTGTTCTAAATCTACACAAATTGGAGTAATTAATGTTTTTTATAATCCACCCAAAGTAATAAGAATTAATGAATTTTTTTTTTAAAGCATCATAGGCAAGTTGAGTATTCTTTTTTATGAATCAAAACCTATTTCTTTAACGACAATATTTTATGTAACCACTTTGTAAACAAGCGGCCAATGAAATTTAAATAACTGAAGATTTTGGCTTCATCAGTCCCAGAATATAAAACGCACTATTGCTCTTGATCTGAAGAGTCCTTCGTTCTTATCAGGTAACCTGATTAATTTACTTCAAATTGGAAGGAAACCTTTTTAAAATGTAAAGTTTAATTGCCCCTGAAAGTGTCAGCTAAAAACATCAGTTAGCAAGCAGCATTGGCCAAGTGTTGAATGAGGAGAACTAGATCAATTTTCCTTTTGCTTTCTCAACTACTCTCATCTTTTATGGATCTGGAAGTTGAAATCACTTCCATTGACACATACCTAACTCTTTGCATTATTAGCTCAAGTACGAAATAGTTAGTTTTGCTTACAGACCCATAAGTAGTTGACGTACAACTTACACATGTAAGAAGAAAAATACAGTTACATGGACAAATAATAATAAAAGAGAAATGTTATCAAAATAAAGAAATAAATAAAATACAGCAGGTTCATAAGACTAGCCAGAACAAACGGATCAAGTAAAGGCCAACTCAACCGATGTATGGATTAGCGTATTCCCATTTGGTAGCCAACTAATCCAATTGAACCATACCAAAAATCATTTGCAATTGAGCATAAAGCAAGCAAGAGATAGAAAGTCTTGAAGAAAGAACTAAAAAAAATCATTTACTACAATGTCTCACAAACTC